CAGTGTCCCGAAGGAGATGAGGAATTCATCAAATGGACGTCTGAGGGGAGAGAATTGCAGGCAGAGAAAACAACTAGGCCCCTAGCTGGGAGTATGCTTGGAGTGTTGGGGCAACAGAAAGATGGTGTGGCTGAAGCAGACTGAATGAAGACTAGAGAAGTAAGAGACAAAATTGGAGCGGGAACTAGGGAGCAGGCAGTCAGTGGGGATCGGAGGTGCTGGGCCTTGTAAGCCATTATGAAAACTTTAGTACTGCCGGGCGCGGTGGCTCACGCCTGTAATCCCAGCACTTTGGGAGGCTGAGGCTGGTGGATCACGAGGTCAAGAGATCGAGACCATCCTGGTCAACATGGTGAAACCCCGCCTCTACTAAAAATACAAAAATTAGCTGGGCATGGTGGCGCGTGCCTGTAATCCCAGCTACTCAGGAGGCTGAGGAAGGAGAATTGCCTGAACCCAGAAGGCAGAGGTTGCGGTGAGCCGAGATCGCACCACTGCACTCCAGCCTGGGCAACAAGAGCGAAACTGTGTCTCAAAAAAAAAAAAAACCCAAAAAAAAAAAAAAAAACACCGAAGAAAACTTTAGTACTTATTCCAGTGGAAAGGGGAACTTGCACAGCACTTTGAGCAGATATGTCTCATGATTTGACTTCTGTTTTTACAAGGACCACTGCAGCTGCTCTGTGGAAAACAGGTTGTAGGGAAGCCAAGGCCGGGCCCAGGAACTGGGGAGGGGGGTGGGGGGGTGAGGTCGCTGCAGTGACAGATGGCTCAGATGAGGGTGATAGTGCTGGGGACGCTGAGACGCGATGGAATAATCAGTGTATTTTAAAGGTGGAGCTGACCTGATTTCCTGATGGACTAGATGTGGGGCTGCGAGAAAAAGAGGAGTCAAAAAATACTTAAGAAGTTTTTGGCTTGAACTACTAGAAGGATAGAGTTTCCATCAGCTGAGACAGGAATAGCTGTGAGTGGAGCAGGATTTTTGGGGGGACTCGGCAATAGGAAGGACTAAACTATAAACACATACAACGGTTTGAATGAATCACCAAAGTTATTTTGTTGAATGGAAAAAGGCAGTCCAAAAATATTTCGTAGTGTTTGATTCCACTTGTAAAGTATTCCGGAAAAGGTAAAACTATATGGATGATGAACAAATCAGCTTTGCCAGGGGTTAGGGTGGAGGGGTGGGTTGATGACAAAGGGGCAGGGTAGGGGATTTGGGTGAATAGCTGGGCTGCGTCTTAATCATGTCAATAGGTACAAGAATCTATAGCTGTTAAAATTCATGTACTGTACACGAAAGCAAAGTTTATAATATGTCAATTTAAAAATTAACAAATATTTAAAAATTTAGGCTGGGCGTGATGCCTCATGCCTGTAATTCTAGCACTTTGGGAGGCCGAGGCTGGCAGATTGTTTGAGCTCAGGAGTTTGAAACCAGCCAGGACAACATGGTGAAACCCTGTCTTTACAAAAAGCATAAAAATTAATGAGGTGTGGTGGCATGCACCTGTGGTCCCAGCTTGAGGATCACTTGAGCCTGGGAGGCCGAGGCTGCAGTGAGCCGAGATTGTGCCACTGCACTCCAGCCTGGGTGACAGAGTGAGACCCTATCGCAAAAAAAGATAAGAAACATTGACAATATTATGTTGCTGTTTTAGGAAAGTAATAGCTATCGGTACACGGTAACTAGTGTTTGTCAGCTTTTAAAATTATAATTTGATTTATCTATATATTTTAATTTAATTAATTTATTTATTAGGATGGAGTCTTGCTCTTGTCATCCAGGCTGGAGTGCAATGACGTGATTTCAGCTCACTGCAACCTCCACCTCCTGGATTCAAACGATTCTCCTGCCTCAGCCTCCTGAGTAGCTGGGATTACACACATGCGCCACTATGCCCAGCTAATTTTTGTATTTTTAGTAGAGATGGGGTTTCTGGCCACCATGTTGGCCAGGCTGGTCTCGAACTCCTGACCTCAGGTGACCCATCCACCTTGGCCTCCCAAAGTGCTGGGATTACAGGTATGAGCCGCCCTGCCCGGCCATTCTCCATTTACATTTTTATACCTGATTTTTTGTTCCTAATATTGTACTGTTTTTCTTAAAATACAACAGCTGATAGCCACCTCTCTGCTGGATAGACCTCCAGTCCCACGAACCCCAGACCTGCCCCTGGAGCAGACATCAGATGGGAAACCCCGTGCAGTCAGAGGCTCATCCTGGGCCCTCATTTCTGTTTGCTGGGACTGCCCGCTAATCGATCAGTGCTTACGTACAAGTTCATCATCAACTTCTGTGGATTCGGGAGGTGGATTGAAGGGATACTTGGACACTGACGCCTGATGGGCAGAGCCCTGCAGGAACCAGTGTCATGAAAGCCCAAGGAGGAAGGCTGGTTTAGTGGTGACTGAACAGCAGAGAAGCCTTAAGGGCACCCATAGCATCTATCTTTAGGAGAACCTGCCATCACCATACTGCAGCAGGTGTCTCGGGAAGACTCCAACCACAAAGCATGGTCTGGGGGGCATTCAGGGTTATGGTGGCAAATACAGGTGGAATCAACCGCTAGGATGAGCTCCGTTTTGGCCAAGTGAGTATGAGGTGTCTGTGAGGCATCCAGGTGAAAATCTTGGGAGGGAGTTGAATATGAGTCTACAGTTTAGGAGGGAGGTGTGGGCTTCAAATATCAATGCAGGAGGAACATTGATAGGGTCTTTAGTTCTGGCTCAGACCTGGCTCTGACCAGGGAGTTCTTCCCTGTGATGAATTTCCCTGTCCTTCCTGTCACCCCCAGCCTACCAGCCTTCACTCCCTACCCTACCAACAATCCAACCGAGGAAAGGATGAGCACCCAGAAGAGAGACAATTGATTTGGAGGTACAGGATGCACGTTGCTTTCGTACAACCATTACTCATGCTTCCTCTCCGAGTAGGAAAGGAGGCCTAGGGCAGGGGAGGAGGCAGTGTGGGTGGGGATCCAGTGAGAGCTGTCTTGCTGAGAGAGTCATGGAAACCTGATTGCCTACCAGGCTGAGTCCTAGGGATGGGATATTGGTTGACAACCCCCCAGGTAGGGTTGTGAGATACAGAGATAGAGGGGATCTATGCCTCCTCTTCTGAATATAGCCCTAGGAATCATCAGGACAGTAAAAGAGCAATGGTGTGTGGTACGTCCAGCAGATAAGGTCTGAACAACTCACAGCTCTCTGTCTCGGAAAAAAAAAAACCCATCATTATGGTCAGGCACAGTGGCTCATGCCTATAATCCCAGCACTTGCTGAGGCAGGTGGATCACCTGCGGTTAGGAGTTCAAGACCAGCCTGGCCAATATGGTGAAAACCCATCTCTACTAAAAATATAAAAAGTAAGCCAGGCATGGTGGCACGTGCCTGTAGTCCTAGCTACTCAGGAGAATTGCTTGAACCCAGGAGGTTGCAGTGAGCCAAGATCGTGCCACTGCACTCCAGCATGGGCAACAGAGTGAGACTTTGTCTCAGAAAAAAAAAAAAAAAGAAAATCTAATTAAAATGGAATTAACAGATTTTATTGGCTAAGTAATAAAAGCTCAGATGTGGGAGTACTGTGATTAGACTCAGTTCCTTGCTGTACTCGCATGGCTGTTGGCTTTACCTCAGGCTGGCTTCCCTCCTAACTGCAAGGTGGCTGAGTCAGCTCCGGGCCTCACAGCTGCCCATTCAGAAAGAGAAAGTATCTGTCTTCTCCCAATCATGATGTGCCTTCTCCCAACCATGCTGGGCTTCAGTTTGGACCAACATCAGTCACATGCTCACTCCTAAAAGAATCACTGTGATGAGGACATGCTCTCAAGGAAAGAAGGATGGGGTTATGCCTGAGTCAATCAGGAACCACCAGTGGATCTGGCAGTGGAGCGGGCGAACCCCAAATTGGCGCTCAGCCTGGGAGGGTCCTTGTGTGCAGGAAAGAATTCAAGAGCCAGTCGACAGAGTAAAGTAAAAGCAAAGCAAGTTTCTTAGAGCAACAGAGTTCGGGAAAATGGCAGCTCCATAGACAGAGCAGGGCTATCCCACAGGCAGAGTAGTAGCTGTGTGTGTGTGTGTGTGTGTGTGTGTGTGTGTGTGTGTGTGTGTTTTTTGAGGTGCACTCACTGTTTCCCAGGCTGCACAATCACTGTTTCTCAGTGGCACAATCTTGGCTCATTGCAGTCTCCACCTCCCAGGGTTCAAGTGATCCTCCTGCCTTATCTTTTTGAGCGCTAAGATTACAGGTGTCCACAACCACACCCAGCTAATTTTTATATTCTTTGTAGAGATGGGGTTTCACCATGTTGGCCAGGCTGGTCTCGAACTTCTGACCTCAAATGATCTGCCCACCTCGGTTTCCCAAAGCGCTGGGATTACAAGTGTGAGCATTGTGCCTGGCCTGCTAGCTAGCTATATTATTTATAGCTACTCCTTAATCATATGCTAAATAAGAAGTGGGTTATTCACATGTTTTCTAGAAAAGAGGTGAGGATTCCTGGGACAGAGGGTTCCTCCCCTTCTAAAGCATATAAGGTAACTTCTGGGCATTGCCATAGCGTTTGTCAACTGGCATTGGTGGGAGTGTCTTTTAATATGCTAATACATTATAATTAGCATATATTGAGCAGTGAGGGCGATTAGAGGTCACTGTTGTCGCCATCTTGGTTTTCGATGGTGTCTTCACCACATCCTGTTTGGAGCAGATGCTGTCTTGATCATGACTGGGGCGTGGAAAACTAGTCCCGCTGATCTCCTGCCTCAGAAGGGAGGGGCGGTGGTATACACCAACCCACCCCAGTCACCTGCTGCCATAGCACGGAGGGGTTGAAATGGAGCTTGATGGTTTTAATGGTATTCTTAAAAACTAGAAAGTTCAAATAATCAACATCTTTTGTCATTAGGACTAATAACCTAAAAGAGTCAAAAATAATTATATGAAGTATAATTAATATGCCAATTAACAATGTAGAATGGGTTTTCAGACTATGAACTTTTAAAACATTATACAAATATTTTATTCACTTGGATAAGGGAGAGTCCATGTGCTTTTGTGAAAGTGCATTCATTTCTTCATGCTGTTTTTCAAGCTCAGTGTTTCTTTCATGTCACCATTAACATAACCTTTCTAAATACAAAAATTCGCAGTTCACATTACGAACTTTTAATAGCTAGTCTTTGCTTTGAACCGTGAACAATAAGGATTTATCCCCCAATTCATCCTTTCTTTTCAAAATGAGTTTGAAAAGATCTTCCTCTTTTTTACAGGCTAAAAAGTAGCCTTCGTATGATGAAGACTCAAACTGCATCTTATCATCATGCCCTGGAACACTTCTCTGAAAAAAAATGATGTCACTTTTTGTATCAGTGATGTTGTCGGGAGGGCTGATTTCCTATAGAGAAAAAAGCCAAAATCACCGAATTATTTCAGGACGTGAACAATTTGAATATATGAAGTTTGTTTTGAAGCACGTTACTGAACAGAACAAAAGTAGTTTTTCTTCTCAAGAGTTATATGAAAGCATCTCTGAACAGCAATGCTGACCTCCTCTCTATTTTAGCTCTGAATCTCCTATTCTCCCTGTCATGGGATGCAGAGAGATCCAGGCCTCTAGTTTTCCCCTGTCCATCAGACAGCTTACTTCTCTGCCCTCCCATTGAGTGGTGTCCACATCTGCTCAAGATGAAGTAGAGTTCCAGCAAAGACCATAGCGTTTTTGGGCCAACGTCAGTTCCTGCCTTCTATAAACCATTCACAGCTAAAGACATTGATGACCTCCTTCCATAACTTACGCTAGTTTGGCTGGGCGCAGTGGCTCACGCTTGCAATCCCAGCACTTTGGGAGCCCAAGGTGGGTGGATCATGAGATCAGGAGTTTGAGATCAGCTTGACCAACATGGTGAAACCCTGTCCCTACTAAAAATACGAAAATTGGCTGGGCGTGGTGGCACATGCCTATAATCCCAGCTACTCAGGAGGCTGAGTCAGGAGAAGCACTTGAACATGGGAGGCGTAGGTTGCAGTGAGCCAACACTGCGCCACTGCACTGCAGCCTGGGAGACAGAGTAAGACTCTGTCACAAAAATAACTAAATAATAAACAAGAAAACTTAGGCTAGTTGTAGCTTCTTTTTCTTTTTGCTTTGAGACAGGGTCTCGCTCTGTATCCCAGCCTGATGTGCAGTGGTGAAATCATAGCTCACTGCAGCCTTGAACTCCTGGGCTCAAGCAATCCCCTTGCCTTAGCCTCCTGAGTTGCTGGGACCACAAATGCACACCGCCACACTTGGCGGATTTTTAAATTTATTTTCGTAGAGATGGGGAGGGGGGCCAGGGTGGAATTTCACTTTGTTGCCTAGGCTGGTCTTGAACTCCTGGCCTCAAGTGATCTTCCCACTTCGGCCACCCAAAGTGCTGGGATTCTAGGCATGAGTCACCATACCTAGCCTGGCCAGTTCTCGTTTCAGAGCCAACCATGAGAGAGACAGAAGTGCCAGGAATCTTAGCTCACTCTTTCAGTGGACCTGGAAATTAAAACTCACTGTGAATAGATCCAATTCTAGGGCCAGGCCCTGGATTCCTGTCTAAACCTGCTTTCTTGGCTCAGTTGGCAGTCTTTGACTCTGTCTCCCTGCCGAGAACTCTAGTTCCATAGTAGTCTCGTATTTCCGTACTGAATGTGGTTTACTTGGCTGGGCCCTGCCCTAGAAGGCCAAATTCTGATTCCTGTATGTTTCAGTCACAGAATAGGGTCCTGTGAGAAATGGTTAGATGACTTGAAACTATAACCTTGAAGGCTTTCCAAATGGTAGTACTGCCTGCACTTTTCCTATTAGTGCATCATGTCTATTTTGCAGGATGGATCAAAACATGTGGGTACCACCTAAGGTTCTTCCATGTGAATCCTGGAATCAGTAGACATTTTGGACTGAATTTTGGCCTCATGGCAGCAAAGATTCCCATGATCCTAAGCACTGACAGAGAAACCTCCAGAATTAAAATTGCGTTTCTTCATAGATGGGAATGGTTTTCTTCATAGATGGGAATGCATTTCTTCATAGATGGGAAATTGCATTTCCCAAGATGCCTGAAAGACTCTGGGTGGTGGAAGTGGGGGGTAACTCCAACCTCCCAATCATTTGTAGAATTGATAGTCCTAACTCCGGACTTTTGTTCTTTACCAACAAGTGTGGGTCCTAAGCTGATGATAGTATAAACTAGTTTCCCTATTGGCATCCACTTCTGCAGCTGTCTACGATATACCACAGTTTAGGAAGAGACCCTAAGCTATGGGCATCAATTTGGAGCTGATCTGAAATCTAATGTATAAGTGAGAAATAATCCATAGCCAAAATTTCAAAAGCTCTAGTAACATTACGGAGGAAGAGAACTAGCATGGAAAGTTACAGTTGAAAGTGAGAGTGTGGCTAGGTAGAATAGGCGATCTCCGCAATCACAGTTATTGCACATTTCAGAATAGAGGCAAGGAAATCCTCGGGCAGTAGCTTTCTTGATGCTGACCACTCCCGGTCATCCTAGGGAAGGTTCAGAGCAAGCGGATGTGGAAGCCATTCCAATGACCTTGCAGAACTGCCAACTTGGAAAGCCCTGGTGAAAGTTGAGTGCTGCAGGGGGCAAGGTTTTTTTTTTTTTTTTTAAAATATCAGAAGGGGTTGAATCTGAATCCAGATAAAGTTGATATTGACTTAACATCTCCCAAGTGCACTGGAAAATCTGAGGGAACCCTGGCCAAGCCTGGATATAGATACGTATATAAAACAGACATTAACAGTAACCTCTCAAAGGAAATCCTTCTTGGTGCTGTCAAGTTTCTTGTCCAAAGAACTTTACAGGACTTTATAGCTAATAATCAATACTGAAAAGTGAGCACATAAGGGCAGCCAGTTGTACATTTTTCTTTTTTTTTTTGAGACAAGAGTCTCACTCTGTCGCTCAGCCTGGAGTGCAGTGGTGCGATCTCGGCTCACTGCAGCCTGTGCCTCCCAGGTGCAAGCAATTCTTCTGCCTCAGCCTCACGAGTAGCTGGGATTACAGGTGCGTGCCACCATGCCTGGCTAATTTTTCTGTTTTTGGGTGGAGATGGGGTTTTGTCATGTTGGCCAGGCTGGTCTTGAACTCCTGACCTCAAGTGATCCACTCGCCTAGGCCTCCCAAAGTGTTGTCATTACAGGTGTGAGCCACCATGTATTTTATTATCTAGAATTTTATTATCTATAGGCTACTTTTATAACCATTGCTAAGATCCTTATTGGTGGCAGGAAAAGGGATTAAAGACGAGAGCTAAAACTGGTCCTAGTCCACACCCCCTCTGCTTTCTCCCTCTCTCCCCGTCTCCAACCAGTATGTATTCCTTCCAGAAGCAGATTTGCTATGATACTGATGAAGCTGAAATGTCAGATTCTCTTATTTGCACAGGTCTCTTCTAGCCACCCCTGCCCTTTTAAAAATTCGAAATAAACGATTAAGCTTATGCCTTTGGTAGCTTTACATTCTTTTTTTTTTTTTTTTTTTTGAGACAGAGTTTCATTCTTGCTGCACAGGCTGGAGTGCAATGGACTGATTCAGCTTACTGCAACCTCTGCCTCAGCCTCCTGAGTAGCTGGGACCACCACACCCAGCTAATTTTGTATTTTTAGTAGAGACAGGGTTTCTCCATGTTGGTCAGGCTGGTCTTGAACTCCCGACCTCAGGCAATCTGCCTGCCTTGGCCTCCCAAAGTGCTGGGATTACAGGGGTGAACCACTGTGCCTGGCTATATTCTTTTCCTTTAGAAGAGCCATTGAAATTGTATAAGCTTCAGACTCCCCCAAATACAGATTTGTCCAATTCCTACTAAGTGCCAAGCATTATTTCCGTCTCCTTAACATTGTCACCGTCTCCCCCAATAAGAATCCACTTGTCGGTCGGACTTATTCTAGCTTCTGAATCTGCCTCTGCAGCTGAGTCTTCCTCTATCCCATGTAGCCTGAGCTTGGCCATATCCTTCCCTTCTGATTCTGTTACTCAGTAACAGCATGCTTAACCCTTTCCACCCCACCCTTCCATCCCAGGCCACTAATGCCATTTTGATAACTAAGCTGCCTGCCTATCAGGTCTAGAATGGGGACTCCAAATTGTCACCTGAAGGGGTGGCACCCTGGCTGGAGGGAGATAGCGGAGGGGTTTGTCTGGAGGCTGTATCTGTTGCATATGCACTGTTCTTACTTGGATTATATTTTAGGGTGGCGTTTTTTTCTCTCCCAAGTTGCCCCTTGGTACCTTCCCTAAGGTTATATCCTAACTCTTTCATTGGGGTCTGGGTGAGCATAAAAGCAGTTAATTATTGGTAAATCTCCACTCAAAAAGAATCTTCATGACATGAAATTCTCCTCTGAAGCATTGTCAGTTTGTAAGAATCCCGGGCTACTCCTTTTTTTTTTTGCCCCTGAGACGGAGCTTAGCTCTTGTTGCCCAGGCTGGAGTGCAATGACACGATCTTGGTTCATTGCAACCTCCGCTTCCCAGGTTCAAGTGATTCTCCTGCCTCAGCCTCCCGAGTAGCTGGGATTACAGGCACGTGCCATCACGCCCAGCTAAATTTTTGTATTTTTAGTAGAGACAGGGTTTCATCATGTTGGCCAGGCTGGTCTCAAACTCCTGACCTGAGGTGATCCACCCACCTCAGCCTCCCAAAGTGCTGGGATTACAGGCGTGGGCCATCATGAATAGCCTTCCGGCTATTCTTACTGGGAGGAGAGTTTCCTGGCTCTGTCTGTAGCTGTAGTTAATAGTGGTTTATCTAACAATACTGGAGGAAAGAGAGAAATATAATAGAGAATAATAATGGAGAATAATAGAGAAAAAGTAGTAGCCAGAAATACTTTATACCTGGTTTTCAGATAATTATAGCATTACTTTTGTAGCTGATCCACAAACTTTATTCTATTAGATTAACATTAAAAATAACATACATCAACTGGAAGCTGAAGCTTGTGTCTAAGACTCAGGCTAAGGATCAGCAACAAAACAACTAGGGATTAAAATATTATCATCAGGCCCACATCTGTAATCCCAACACTTTGGGAGGCCGAGGCAGGTGGATTACGAGGTCAAGAGATCGAAACCATCCTAGTCAACATGGTGAAACCCCGTCTCTACTAAAAATACAAAAATTAGCTGGGCATGGTGGCTCATGCCTGTAATCCCAGCTACTCAGGAGGCTGAGGCAGAATTGCCTGAACCCAGGAGGCGGAGGTTGCGGTGAGCCGAGATGGCGCCATTGCACTCCAGCCTGGGTAACAAGAGCGAAACTCCATCTCAAAAAAAAAATTTATCATCATAGTTTACAAAGCTGTGGAAGTATAGAAGGATACTTCCTTCTTCATAGCACAACTTATTCTGGAAAGTCACATGTTATTCTTAAATATATAACTCACTATGGATTCTATACTATTCTCGTATAAAGACTGATTATTCAGGAGAAGCAGGTCATAAAACAAGTGCTGTATCTTCTCCTCCCGGTTACAGGCTCAGAAAAACCAGCATTATCACAATTGGTAAAGAGTTTGATAATTTTTAGTAAGTATTCATTTTAATGATTCTCTGCTTCTTGTTATTTCTGTTTTAGACAAAAGGTTGGTCTGAGGATATTTTTCTAATTATATTATTTATATTAACATTAGAAATAATATATTTCTGGGCCTGGTGCAGTGGCTCACGTCTATAATCCCAGCACTTTGGGAGGCCGGGGCAGGTGGATCACGAGGTCAAGAGATCGAGACCATCCTGGTCAACATGGTGAAACCCCGTCTCTACTAAAAATACAAAAAATTAGCTGGGCATGGAGGCGCGTGCCTGTAATCCCAGCTACTCAGGAGGCTGAGGCAGGAGAATTGCCTGAACCCAGGAGGCGGAGGTTGCGGTGAGCCGAGATCGCGCCATTGCACCCCAGTCTGGGTAACAAGAGCGAAACTCTGTCTCAAGAAAAAAAAAAAAAAAAAGAAATAATATATTTCTAATTATATTAATTATATTAACGTGATTGAAAACAAAGTAAGGCTCAGTCTTACCTTAAAGGAAATAATTTTGTTCTCACAGGAGAGAGTTGAAATTTTTCCACACTTCACAGAGATGGTTACAGCCAGACCTCTAGGCTCGCTATCTTTATACATATATATAATAAATATGGTCCGGGATGCATTTGCTGAAAAAAATAATAATAAATGAGAACTCAAGTCAAAAGAAATTTTGCACAGCAACATTTGTGAAAATTTAACCAAAGAACAGTCCTTAAAACATTTGTTCCCACTTTGAGACTTGGCCAGTCTGCAGGAGACTATGTACAGCGAGTCAGACATTTTTAAAAACATATTTCAGGCCTGGCTTTGTGGCTCATGCCTGTAATCCCAGCATTTAAAAGTTAAAAACAATCTTTTGAAACTCATATCTTTAAAATACCCAAAAAAGTTGCAGAACGTGTGTTGTAACACACATTAAACTATGGGGTTGTTTGTTTGTTTGTTTGGGAGGCTGAGACAGGTAGATTACTTGAGGTCAGGAGTCTGAGCCCAGCCTGGCCAACATGGTGAAACCCCATCTCTACTAAAAATACAAAATTAACCGAGTGCGCGCTACTCGGGAGGCTGAGGCATGAGAATCACTTGAATCTGGAAGGAGGAGGTTGTAGTGAGCTGAGATCGCACCACTGTACTCCAGCCTGGGTGACAAAGTGAAATTGTGTCTCAAACAAGCAACCTCCAATTTAATATGTGTTACACATACGTGCTACAACTTTATTGAGTATTTTAAATATATGAATTCTGAAAGATTGTTTTTAACTTTTAAATGCTTAATAAAATACTTAAAATATATTTGTTGAGGTAAGCAGTCAGTATTTTTAAATCGCGCACATTCAGCTGCTTTAATTCAGCCTAACTTTGCTATTTGGAATTCATATTTTGGAAGGCACAGTAGACTTGATCATTTTCTTTTCAAGTTTTTTTTTTTTTTTTAATTTTGAGACAAGGTCTTTATATCACCCAGGCTGGAGTGCAGTGGCTATTCATAGGCATTATCACAGTGGATTTATAGCCTCAATGTCCTGGCCTCAAGCAATCCTCCTGCTTGAGCCTCCCAAGTAGGTAGGATTACAGATAGATGCCACCACACATGGCAACTTAATCATTTTCTACTGTACTCTAAGTTTCTGGAGCAAGATAGACTCATTTGAAATGCATATTTATTTTTAATATTTTGAAAACTATCAGCGTTTTCAGCTGTCATGAGCAGGGATTAAGCATCCAACTATAGAGGTTTTAAACAGTTATTTATGCAATCATAAGGGATTAATGCGATCATAATGACGGGATTAATGTGATCATAATGACAGGATAAAAGCGATCATAATGACGGGATTAATGCATCATAATGAAGGATAAATGCATCATAATGAAGGGATTAATGCGATCATAAGGAAGGGATTCATGCGATCATAATGACGGGATGAAAGCGATCATAATAAAGGGATTAATGCATCATAATGAAGGGATTAATGCATCATAATGAAGGGATCAATGTAATAATAATGAAGGGATTAATGCGATCACAATGAAGGGATTAATGCATCATGAGGGTATTAATGCATCATAATGAAGGAATTAATGCATCATAGGGGATTAATGCATCATAATGAAGGAATTAATGCATCGTGAGGGGATTAATGCATCATAATGAAGGGATTAATGCGATAATAATGAAGGGATCAATGCAATCATAATGAAGGGATTAATGCGATCATAATGAAATGATTAATGCATCATAATGAAGGGATTAATGCGATAATAATGAAGGGATCAATGCAATCATAATGAAGGGATTAATGCGATCATAATGAAATGATTAATGCATCGTGAGGGGATTAATGCATCATAATGAAGGGATTAATGCAATCATAATGAAGGGATTAATGCATCATGAGGAGATTAATGCATCATAATGAAGGAATTAATGCATCATGAGGAGATTAATGCATCATAATGAAGGGATTAATGCGATCATAATAAAGGGATTAATGCATCATAATAAAGGGATTAATGCATCATGAGGAGATTAATGCATCATAATGAAGGGATTAATGCGATCATAATAAAGGGATTAATGCATCATAATGAAGGGATTAATGCACCATAAGAGGATTAATGCATCATGATGAAGGGATTAATGCGATCATAAAGAAGGGAATAATGCATCATAATGAAGTGATTAATGCGATCATAACGAGGGGATTAATGCATCATAAAGAAGGAATGAATGCGATCATAATGAAGGGATTAATGTATCATAATGAAGGGATTAATGCGATCATAATGACGGGGTATAAGCGATCAAATGACGGAAATTAATGCAACATAATAAAGGGATTAATGCATCATGAGGGGATTAATGCATCATAATGAAGGGATTAATGCATCATGAGGGGATTAATGCATCATAATGAAGGGATTAATGCATCATGAGGGGATTAATGCATCATAATGAAGGGATTAATGCATCATGAGGGGATTAATGCATCATAATGAAGGGATTAATGCATCATGAGGGGATTAATGCATCATAATGAAGGGATTGATGCACCATGAGGGGATTAATGCATCATAATGAAGGGATTAATGCATCATGAGGGGATTAATGCATCATAATGAAGGGATTGATGCACCATAAGAGGATTAATGCATCATGATGAAGGGATTAATGCGATCATGAGGGGATTAATGCATCATAATAAAGGGATTAATGCATCATAATGAAGGGATTAATGCATCATGAGGGGATTAATGCATCATAATGAAGGAATTAATGCATCATGAGGGGATTAATGCATCATAATGAAGGGATTAATGCGATCATAACGAAGGGATTAATGTATCATAATGAAGGGATTAATGCGATCATAATGAAGGGATTAATGCATCATCATGAAGGGATTAATGCGATCATAATGATGGGATGAAAGCGATCATAATTACGGGATTAATGCATCATAGTGAAGGGATTAATGCGATCATAATGAACGGATTAATGCGATCATAATGAAGGGATTAATGTATCATAATGAAGGGATTAATGCGATCATAATGAAATGATTAATGCATCATGAGGGGATTAATGCATCATAATGAAGGGATTAATGCGATTAAAATGAGGGGATTAATGCATCATAATGAAGGGATTAATGCGATCATAATGAAGTGATTTATGCATCATGAGGGGATTAATGCATCATAATGAAGAAATTAATGCATCATAATGAAGGGATTAATGCGATCAAAATGAAGGGATTAATGCAGCATAATGACGGGATTAATGCGATCGTGATGACGGGATTAATGCATCATAATGATGGGATTAATGTGATCATAATGAAGCGATTAATGCGACTATAATGAAGGGATTAATGCGATCATAATGACTGGTTTAATGCGATCATAATGAAGGGATTAATGCATCATAATGAGGGGATTAATGGGATCATAATGAAGCGATTAATGCAGCATGATGAAGGGATTAATGCATCATAATGAGGGGATTAATGCGATCATAATGAAGGGATTAATGCAGCATGATGAAGGGATTAATGCATCATAATGAGGGGATTAATGCGATCATAATGAAGGGATTAATGCGATCATAATGAAGGGATTAATGGATCATAATGAAGGGATTGGTGATTCAAAGGTAGGCTCAGAGTGGCATGACCCCTTTCAATGTCTTATTGTATCCAATTTTTTACCCCAACTAAAAAACGTGGATGCCTTATAAAGTTCCTTGTAAGTAAAATTGTTATTACTCCTTCATCTGAGGACTGGGATTAGTATGGAAAAATGTAAGCAGTAAAACAGAATGAGAAGAAGTAGCTAGTCATTTCTGTTTGTGGATAAAAAAAATTACCTTCACAGTCAGAATCAGTCATATCCTCAAACAGAGGGTGATTTCCTTGGCCAAGGAAGAGAACTTGGTCATCCACATTTCTTATAATTGCTAATTTGGATTTAAGCTTGGCAAAGTGATCTGTTTCCAGGTTTTCTATAATAAACATTAAATATCATTAAAAATACATGCTTTCTTTGTTAATCTACAAATAAGTATGCTATATATTTCAGTTTTGAAAACTATTAATGACAATCTTCTATTCCAGAAGCAGGCACAATAAAGCTGGCTGTTTTCTTTTTAACCTACTCTCAAAGGCACACTCAGGTTCTTGTTACCCCTCAGAACTATTCTGCCTCTGAAATATTAACTTCAAGTATCTTACTTTCTGACCAGTCTCTTCTCCTTTTAGTTTTCTTACACTTTTACTTCAACTATACGTGTTCTTAGATTTCACAACATCCTCCAGTCTCCTGACTCTTGTATTTCCTCTCTAACCTCTTCCTATCTTCCCTTCCTTCCCTGTGCAGCTGAATCTCAGAGTTCACTTTGTCTACCATTTGGCTGGGATATTAAATCCCTAACTCATTTGTCCTTCTGCTACAAAACTCCAAACATGGCTGCTGTGTGCTGCTGGTGAGCATTAGCACCAGTGTTCAAATCGGGGCCGTTACAAGCATATCGATTGTCAAAACTTCTTCTGCTTTCCAGTTCAGCACTGTCTTCCACAGTTCACAGCCGCAATTTCAAATTTTCTTTGCTCTCTTCAGGACCTCTATACCATCATCTGTTTTCATTTTCAGCAAATGATTTCTACTCTGTACTCCACTTACAAACTTAACTGTGGCAGCACCAGAGTTGCTAAAGAAAAGTTATCTCCCCTCTCCTTTTTGTCCCAAGGGGAAATGCGAAGGGCTGACCCCCATTTGTGCTCGGCATATACCCTCTACTGAACCCTTGATTTACCCATCATCCTTCTCTCCTATCAACCTAGCAATTCTACCTCCTGGATTTTCTCTTAAAGAAACAATCAGACAAACGTGTAAACATTTTTGTTCAGGAATGCTTATGGGCACAGTTAATAACAACAACAAACTGGGAACGAACATCCACCAATTAGGAATGCATTAAATAAAAAGGGCAAAGATATGCCCTTTTTGTGAAATATGAATTTAATATAACTGCAATTACTCATGGCCATGGAGAGATGTCCACATAGATCACTCACTGGAAAAAGCAACTTAGGTAGGATATAATCCCTTCTAATTTAAATATAAGCATTTCTATGTCTGTATATAGATGTATTGAAAGAAGTATAAATATATTGTATCAAAATGGCAGCTATCATTATTTCTGGGTGGGTTTCATACTTTTATCTTTCATATTATCTTTTTTCATTGCCTGAATTAGTTATAATGAACACATTCTTTTCCTAATCAAAAAAGCACAAAGTTCTTTATTTTGAGATTTAAAACTGCTCCATCAACCCAGTCTCACCTTGCAGTTAGTCTTGTTTCTCTCCTCCTTTTAACCAGCAAGCTTTTAGTAAGAATTGTCTGTATCATTTCCTCACTTTCCATTTACTCTTTTACTCATTGCAGTCTGCCTCTGCCTCCATTTCACCATCAAGTTGCTTTCACTGAGATCACCAAACTCCTTGTTACTAAAGTAAGAGCTATGTTCTGGCCCTTGATTCTCAAGGCTGCGCAATTCAACACAATGCCTATCCCCTCAGTCCTGAAAAGCTCTCCTGGGAGTTGGTGGAATTCTCTTGGTTTTTCTTCTTCCTTTTCGGTTAGTCTGCTCTCTGTTCTTTATTCGCTTCTCTTTCTAGCTCCGTTAAATGCAGGTATTCCCCCCAGTTTAGTACTTGGCTTTTACTCTCGCACTACACATTTCCTCTGATTTGTCTTTTTATTGCTATAGATTCAGATGCCATTTCTATGCATAAGCCTTCAACATGTCTATCTCCAGCCCAAATCTTTGTCCTGAGTTCAGAACCACGTGTACAAGAGTTTACTAGACATCTCTACTAGGACGTTCTGCAGACCTCTCAGCTCCAAAACTAAATTTGTCATCCGTTCTCCTCTTTGTATACACCAAAGCCTGCTCTTCCTCCTGTGCTTCCTATTTCATCAACTGGAACAAATTGCCTAAGTGAAAAACACAGGCATCGTCGTTTCTACTCTCTTCTCCTTTCAAATTCAACCCTAAATCACGTCCCTTTGATTCTCTCAAGTATTTCTAAAATCCATTCACAGCTCCTCATCAGCACTCCACTAGGTCTACCTTAATTCATGACACCATAGTTTCTTGTAAGAACTAAAATAACAGCCTCTCAACCTTTTCTTGTCCTCCTCACCCCACACCATCAATTCTTTATACCAAAGCCAGAATGATATTTTAAAAATATATCATTTCTGAATTTTAAAGAGTCATATGGCTACCTGGAATAAATATTATATTTTCCATATTTCCTTGCATATGGTGTGGCCATGTTATTAAATTCTAGTCAATGGAGTATGAGGGGAATTGATGTGTACAACTTCCAGTTAGAGTCATTGAAAGGAATGAGCCTGACTTCCTCTCGTCTTGACCCTTTCTTGATAACGTTGATGTGGACCCAGGAAGTATGATGATTTTCAACTATGTGAATGAGACCAACAACTGGGGGATGATGGGTAACAAGACTGGAGAATGTCAGGGTCCCAATATCATCAGGTTGCCTCCAGCTATATGACTTCTGAGCTGCCTACTTAGACTTTCTTTGAGAGGAAAATTTTCTTATTCAGCTACTGTATCTTTGGATGTCTTTGTTACAAGAAACTAATCTTTACCCTAGCTAATACATACTGTGCTTAATTAACTCTATTATCTCCAAGATAAAGTTCAAATTTCACATCTTGGAGTAAGAGAAGGTCTTGCTCTACACCCTAATGATCACTCCAGCTTCTCTCATCATTCTACTCCTACTCTACTTCCATTCTGAATTACCCTGAATTCATCATTAATGCCACAGGTTTCTTTCAGATCTTGGCCTTTGAATGTGGTCTTCTTGCCCCATCCATTTGTATCTCCTCTACTTCTAGAATTTTCTGCCCCCCCCCAACAACCTGGGAACCTCCCAGGCTTCTTCCCAAAGCATTTCTGAGAGGAGGTATTATTGATTTTGGACAATTCTAATGATCAATCCCCTTTTCCTATGCAACTCGCCCTGCCCCCTCCAACAGAATCCACAACTCCCCATTAATCTTAGGACCTATGAAACAGGCAGGGTCTATTTTGTAGATTCTGGAGAATTTTTTAAGTTGTACAGAAGCATCTTTTGCTAGAGGTTCTTTGTATCTCTTATGGTCATCTTCATTCCAAAGCTGTGCTACTGAGTCCACATTCCTTTGAGGGAAGATTGGTTTTCCAAATAGATTGGTATCATGTGAACCATTTTTTTCTCGGCTGACAATGGTGATATAGATGTGTTTCAAGCAGATACTTAGTTTGCAAAGAAAAATAAATTCATTTATACTTTACCATCATCTTCAGCTAAGGGGGAAAAAAAAGAGAAACAGAATATGTAAAACTTTGTATTTGACTCAGAATTTCCTCTCACCCCAGCTTTTACTTTTGCTACTCCTCTTTCTCAAACCCCTATTTTTATGCCGATGGTCTGTCTTGGCTTTCATCAGAATATTATATAATCATCCAGAAGGCCCACAAAATGAAGGTCATCACACTTAGTCTGTTCTCAGGTAATTTAGACATAAAACTTAAACCCAGGGTTTAAAAATTTCAATATGTAGCTAGAAACACATTTTGTAAAATGATAGATCACTTAAGAATTTTTTACAAAGGTTTTTTTTCTTTTTTCTTTTTTGAGACAGGGTCTACTGTCACGCAGCCTGGAGTATAGTGGTGGGATCATAGCTCACTGCAGGCTCGAATTCCCAGGATCAAGCCATCCTCCTGCTTCAGCCTCCGAAGTAGGTAGGAGGTGTGTAGAGATGAAGTCTCACTTTGTTGCCCAGGCTTTTCAATGAAGGTTTCAAATAAAGGTAAACTTTCAAATGAAGCCAAATTGCTCACAGATTAATCAAAAGAATCAATTTTTAGGCCAGTGTGGTAGCTCATGTCTGTAATCCCAGTACTTTGGGAGGCTGAGGTAGGCAGATCATCTGAGGTAAAGAGTTTGAAACCAGCCTGGCCAACATGGCAAAACTCCGTCTCAATTAAAAATACAAAAAATTAGCCAGGCATGGTGGGTGCACCTGTAATCCCAGCTACTCAGGAGGCTGAGGCAGGAGAATTGCTTGAACCTCAAAGGTGGAGGTTGCAGTAAGCAGAGATCATGCCACTGTACTCCAACCTGGGCAACAGAAAAAAAGAAAAAAAGGATCAATTTTTACTTGTCAAACATATTACATAAAATGGTATAACTCATAGAACTCTAAATTTAGAGACTCTTTTACAAAATTTGCCTATTTGCTTTGGGAAATTGTATTTCCTGAATGCATCCAGTTTTGTACTGGGATTTTTTCCCATGAAAACTGGGATTTTTTTTTTTTTAAACTGGGATTTTCATGATGTGCACTTCCTGCCACCTGGAGAGTGAGCCACTGCTAACTGAAGTGCCGGGACATGTGGTGTGACAAGGTGCCTGACCTTGGATATGTTATGGTTAATTTCTAGAAGTCCACTAATTTTTTAAAGAGCCATTATTATTATAATGAAATTTGGTGACAAAAAGAGTCACTTAATAGTTCACCTCACAACATCTTTTCTAGTTAAATAGATTTATCTGAACCTGGTGTTCGTTCTACGGCATTAGCCTTACCTCTAAAGTAAAGTGCATCGCCAGTAAATTTCATTTCCACAAAGTTGATGCAATTGTCTTCTACTGGTTCAGCAGCCATCTTTATTCCTAAGGAAAGCAAAGAGCCATCTGCTAAAAGATAATGATTGTCCCTTTTACTACTACTTTACACTACCCTCTAGTTCAGAGGTCAGTTAACCACCTAGTATACTGATGAACAATCTGGACATTTAATAAATGCCAGAAGTTTCAGCTTATGAATACCCATGTCTAAATGTTCTCTTACAAATCATCAGATATTTGGAATATAGAAAGGATTTTCTCATTAAACAATATTATAAAGGGCAGATAGGCCGAGCGTGGTGGCTCATGCCTGTAATGCCAGCACTTTAGAAGGTCCAGGTGGGCAGATCACCTATCAGGAGTTCGAGACCAGCCTGACCAACATGGAGAAACCCCATCTCTAAAAGTACAAAATTAGGTGGGTGTGGTGGTGCATGCCTGTAATCCCAGCTACTTGGGAGGCTGAGGCAGGAGAATCGCTTGAACCCAGGAGGTGGTGGTTGCCATGAGCCAAGATGGCACCATTGCACTCCAGCCTGGGCAACAAGAGCAAAACTCCATCTCAAAAAAAAAAAAAGAAAAGGGCAGATAAGTGGCCCACTACTGAACTGAATCATTATTCTAATATTCCTTGAGAAATAGGAATATATTATCAATATAAATGTAATTTCATTCGAGGATGCCAGAAACACATCTAATCCTGCCCTTTAAGAAGAACTGGCTTAATCCTTCTCTTACAATCAGTGGGTACCTGTGGGTGAGAGGCTGAAGGCTTATGACTTCATTGTCAAAGTGCTAAAGGTGAAGCAATAATAAAAAATGCTTCCACCTGAGAGTAGAGGCAGGGTAGGAGAAGGCTGCAGGGCTCTGGCATTTGATGGCCCTCTTTCTCCATGAGGAGTAGTGGTGTTTGATCTGGAGTCTAGATTACACTACGTTTTTAACACGAGTAATACATAAATACAATCTTGCTGTAAAGTCAAATGATACAGGATTTGTATCATTTGATACAGAATTCTTCTATTTGCTCTTCCTTTCTGCCACTCTTCCAATACAGTGTGCAGGCTTCCAGAATTTTTTTATGGAGCAGGAGTTCTCAATGTGAGAAATTTGTGAACTTGGGTGGGGTAAAAAATACACATGTACTTTGACCAACTTCTGAAATTTAGCATTCCTTCCATGACTAGTTGCAGGAAACAAACCACAGTATTATTAGGAGTATGTGTGACTCTGTCATTAATAGAAATACCTGTTTTCTATTGTGTTACAATTATTGCAGAGATCTTGAAATATGGTTTAAACTTATTACTACTTTGAAATTACAGAAGTTATTAGTCGCCCCAGTAGATCTTATTTAATGTGTTGATAAAAAGTAACATATATATGGCATAAAAATTTGTTTAAAAATTAAATGGTATGCAGGGGAGTATTCATAAATCTGTGCTCAAAATTTTTCTAGCATAATCTGAGGCCCAGTATGTATGGTAGAGTAAGAAGGAATTTAAAACTCAGTTAAAAAAAAAGTAATCCAAATTAAGCTAACTCCAAAATACTTGTTAGTTGGTATTATTTAAGAGTTTTATCTAGATTTAGATCCTTACACACATCCAAATGTGAATGGCTATTAAACTTAGTTTATTTAATAAGTTTAAATAAAATAAAATTGTATTAAACATTAATATTTAAAGTTGTAATGTATTTTTTATTTTCTGCATTTTTTTCCTAAACACTTGCACCCACTGAAAAACTGCATTGGTTTTTATTAAATGAGTTTCATATACAGTTTAAAAGGCAAATGTAAACATACGTTCTTAAAGATATATCATAAGCTGTTCTCTTTCAGTGAATTGAAGTGTTTGACAGAGAAGCAAATGTTAAAGCCATGTTATCAGACATGTTTCTTTCTGCATTTGTACTTATTATGACAAGTTTACATATTTAGCTTTTTAGTGTTTTTATTGTACTTGTATAAATTTGTGGGATTTTGTGTAATTTTGTTTCATGGATATACTGCATAGTGGTGAAGTGAGGGCTTTTAGTGTATCTGTCACTGGAATAACATACTTTGTATCCATTAAGTAATTTATCATCCACTTCCCTCTCACTTCCCTGCTCTTTTGAGTCTCTAATGTTTATTGTTAAACACTTTGTCTAGGCATCCACACTACTTAGCTCCCACTCATAAGTGAGAACATGAGGTATTTGCCTTTCTGTGTCTGAGTTGTTTCACTTAAGATAATGGCCTCCTCCTACAACAAAGCCACAGCTCATATGAAGAAAAAAAAAAGAAAAGAAAGATAATGGCCTCCAGTTCCATCCATGTTGCTGCAAAAGAGATGATTTTGTTCTTTCTTATGACTGAATAGTATTCCATTGCATATATGTGTGCAAACACACACACACACCCCTCCCATATTTTCTTTATCCAACCATCAGCTGATGAACACTTAGGTTGATTCTATATCTTTGCTATTGTGAATGTTGCTATAATAAACATACAAATGCAGGTATATTTTTGATATAATGATTTCTTCTGGGTAGATATGCAGTAGTGGGATTGCTGGATGAAAGGGTAGTTTTATTCTCAGCAATTTGAGAAATATCCATACTATTTTCTATAGAAGTTATACAAATATACATTCCCACCAAGAGTGCATAAGCTGTCCCTTTTCTCTGCATCCTCCACAGCATGTTATTTTTTGTAGTAATAGCCATTCTGATTGGTGTAAGATAGTGTGTCGCTGTGGTTTCAATTTGCATTTCTATGATGATTAGTGGTGACAAGCATTTTCTCATATGTTCCTCGGCCATTTGTATGTCTTCTTTTGAGAAACATCTATTCATGTCCTTAGCTCAGTTTTGAATGGGATTGTTTTTTGTTGTGAGCTGTTTGAGTTCCTTGTAAATTTGAGATATTATTCCCCTGTCTGATGTATAGTTTCCAAATATTTTCTCCCATTCTGCAGGTTGTCTACTCTGTTGATTATTTCTTTTGCTGTATAGAAGCTCTCTAGTTTAATTAAATCCCAAATGTCTATTTTTGTTTTTGTTGCCTGTGCTTTTGAAGTCTTGGTCATTAATTCTTTGCCTAGACCACTGTCTAGAAGAGTTTTCTCTAGTTTTTTTTTTGTTTGTTTTTCTATTTTATAGTTTTAGGTGTTACATTTGTCTTTAATTCATCTTGAGTTGATTTTTGTTTTTGTACATGGTGAGAGATACGGGCCCAGTTTCATTCCTTTGCATATAGCTATCCAATTTTCCCAGCACCAATTATTGAAACTGGTATCCTTTTCCCATTGTATGTTCTTGTCAGCTTTGCCAAAAATCAGCTGGCTGTTAAGTATGCGGCTTTATTTCTGAGTTCTCTCTTCTGTTCCACTGACATATGTGTCTGTTCTATGTCACTTCCATGGCTGTTTTGGTTACTATAGCCCCTGTGTCGTAATTTGAAGTAGATAAAAATTTTTTGATAACTCTGTTCCAATATTTATTTGGTTTCTATTATACAGCTAAGTATTTAATTTTATGGCTGCAAAAACATTATTCTGAGAAGGGGTCCACAGTCTTCAGATTTCCCATGAAAGCCCATGCCACAGAAATGATTAGGAATCCCCTACACTAGAATTCAGCAGTGCCTTGGGTCCCTGAAAGCAGGTATGGCTGGGGCTCTAAGGAAGGTGGTTGAGTCACCATTGTCAATGGTACATAGAGGAGTAGCCATAAAACTGGGCTCATAGGAAGAGAACTGACTCAAATTCTTTCTAACTTAATCTAAAAGCAAGCATGTATGGTAGAGTAAGAAGGAAATTAAAACTCAGTTGAAAAAACTTAATCCAAATTAAGCTGACTCCAAATAGTCGTTAGTTGGTGGCTATTTCAGTTTATTTTTTCTTTTTCTTTTTTAGAGAGAGGGTTTCACTATGTTGGCCAGGAGGGTTTCACTATGTTGGCCAGGATGGTCTCGATCTATTGACCTTGTGATCCACCAGCCTCAGCCTCTTAAAGTGCTGGGATTACATGCGTTAGCCACCGTGCCTGGTCTTTTTCTTTTTAAATAGAGATGGCATCTCATTATGTTATCTACGCTGGTTTTTATTTCTTTGTTTCTTTTTTTTTTTTTTTGAGATGGAGTCTTGCTCTGTTGCCAGGCTGGAGTACAGTGGTGTAATCTCAGCTCACTGCAACCTCCGCCTCCTGGGTTTAAGCAATTCTCCTGCCTCAGCCTCCCAAATAGCTAGGACTACTGGCGTGCACCACCACGCCCAGCTAATTTTTGTATTTTTAGCAAAGATGGGGTTTCACCATGTTGGCCAGGAGGGTCTGAATCTCTTGACCTCGTGATCCATCTGCCTCAGTCTCCCAAAGTGCTGGGATTACAGGTGTGAGCCACCACGCCCGGCTGTCCAGGCTGGTTTTTAACTCCTGGACTCAAGTGATCCTTTCTCCTCAGCCTCCCAAAGTGCTTGAGATTAAAGGCATGAGGCACCATACCCAGCCCTCATTTAACAGTTTTATCTAGGTTTATTTCTGTATGCTCATCTAAATGTGAATAGTTATTAAATTTATCTTATTTAAATAACATTTCTTTTTGAGATGGAGTCTCACTCTGTCACCCAGGTTGGAGTGTAGTGGTGAGATCTTGGCTCACTGCAATACCCACCCCACCCCTCACACCTGGCCTCAAGTGATTCTCCCACCTTAGCTTCCCAAGTAGCTGGGACCACAGATACATGCCACCACACCCAGCTAAGTTTTTGTATTTTTGGTAGAGATGGGGTTTCACCATGTTGCCCAGTCTGGTCTTAAACTCCTGAGCTCAAATGATTTGCCTGCCTTGGCCTCCCAAAGTTCTGGGATTATAGGCATGAGCCACCATGCCTGGCCAACACATTTAAATATAATAAAAACTGATGTACAAATAAATTTAAATATTATAAAATTTAACATTTAAATAAATTATAAAAATAAAAATTATAAAAATTAACATTTAAATTTTTTATTAAATATTAGAAAATATTTATAATATTTAAATTTACAATTTAGAATTATCACCTAGTCTTTTAAAGGAGGGGATAAGGAGACACTTAGAGAAAAATAATATAGCAAAGGATGAAAAGGTCGCTGAGATAAGTCTAAAATTTTTTAGGCTAGAGTGCAATGGCGGTCTATGCTCACTGCAACCTCCGCCTCCCAGGTTCAGGTGATTGTCCTGCCTTAGCCTCCTATGTAGCTGGCATCACAGGTGTGTGTCACCACAACCGGCTAATTTTTGTATATTTAATAGAGACGGGGTTTCACTATGATGACCAGGCTGATCTTGAACTCCTGACCTTGTGATCCACCTGCCTTTGGCCTCCCAAAGTGCTGGGATTACAGGCATGAACCACCACGCCTGGCCCCAAGTCTAAATTTTTTTTTTAACCAAAGCCAAAACCAACTTTAATATTAAAAATCAGAAGAATAATGACTAGACTGTGAGCTCCATGAGGGCTTTTTCTTTATTCACCTTGATGGTTTCATTGCTGAACGTGGCCTTGTTGTAAGTGTCAGGAGGTATTTGTTAATGACGCATTAACTGAGAAGGCAGATATCTGTTAACCTGAAAGGGACTCTGTGTTTTGATTAGTTATCAGCTGGTGAGATAATGAATAGCATGATCTTCTCTACAAACTTTAATATTATGTAATACACACATATTTATTAAAGTAATTCACCTGAAATGCACCAAGCAGCATGGGCAGGAATCAGATTAAATTACTAATGTTTACCACTTTGAGGACATACTCAATGAGTGAATGGATTTAGAGAAGGACAATACTTGAGCTGATTCAACAGCTAAGGTTTGATCATCAGCTAGGCATCAGGAATGTGTCTAGAAGCTGACTGAACCACACATGAATGACAGTTAGCTCCCATCCTCCAGTTTCTCAAGAGTCTAATGGGAGAGAAGAATCTATAAGGAGTTACAAAATAATATAACGGATGATGTAAGAGCTGGAGTTACAAGCGATTCATTCTTTCTGTTTGATGGTGCTGGAGAAGGTTACCATGGGAAGTGATGACTGTGCTGTCTTGAAAACGAAGCAGGTATTTTCAGGGCCAGGGGAAGAGCCTCCACCAAGAAGAAACAATGTGATCAAAGGCTAGGCAGCAGGGAGACTGAGAGAACATCGGTTGTTTGGGGCCTCAACATCTTTACCGTAAACAAGGCAAATGTGATCACATTTTACAGAAAAAGAGCATTTCTAAAGATTTCACAGAGTTCCAGATTAACTTTTCTTTTCTTTTCTTTTTTTCTTTGAGATGAAGTTTTGCTCTTGTTGCCCAGGCTGCAGTGCAATGACACTATCTCAGCACACCATAACCTCTGCCCCGCCGGGTTCAAGCAATTCTCCTGCCTCAGCCTCCTGAGTAACTGGGATTATAGGAATGCATCACCACACCCAGCTAATTTTGTATTTTTTTAGTAGAGATGGGGTTTCTCCATGCTGGTTGGTCTCAAACTCCTGACCTCAGGTGATCCACCTGCCTCGGGCTCCCAAAGTGCTAGGATTACAGGTGTGAGCCACTGTGCCCAGCCAAGATTAACTTTTCTTTGGGAAAAATGTAAAAGCATGAGAGGAGATATTCTTGGAGTACATAAGCCTGCAACAACCAAAGCATATTCTTGCTTTCTTTCCTCAAATTTCTTAGCATTATTACTAGTGTTTTGTAGCCCACTCTCTCCACACAGACTATCATGGTGGTATTTGGCCTTTTTAATACTGTTTTCTTGAATGTAACTTTTGTTTCAACATATTTATTTGGAGATATTTTTTTCACACAGCAGTAACAATACATCCCTTAGCACTTGGATAACATTATCATATAAAAATATATATATATTTAAAAAAATTTTTTTAAAAGATGGGGTTTCACCATGTTGGTCAGGCTGGTCTTGAACCCCCAACCTCAGGTGATCCACCCACCTTGGCCTGCAAAGGGCTTGGATTACAGGCATGAGCCATCATGCCTAGCCTATAAAAAGATTTTAAGTTATGTTAAAAAATAGCACAATAATAACCCGTATGTCTGAAGAACTTCTGAGATAAGGTCTAATTTACGTAACACTAACATGGAAGCAGATAATGATACCAGGCATAAGAGACACTTGCATGTGGCAAAGTAGCAGTTTATAGCTCATCTGACCTACCGGCTTTGAAATTATGTCATTCTACATAAATTATTTGGAAGAGTCAACATTATTTCCATTTTGCCCATATAAACTATAATTTTCATATTTTGCCTAATTCAGTTCACATAAAATGCAACTTGCAGTGTAGTTTGATGAAAGCTTGGAAAGAGGCCGGGCACGGTGGCTCACGCCTATAATACCAGCACTTTGGGAGGCCGAGGCGGGTGGATCACGAAGTCAAGAGATCGAGACCATCCTGGTCAACATGGTGAAACCCCGTCTCTACTAAAAAAAAAAAAAAAAAAAAAAAAAATTAGCTGGGCGTTGTGGTGCGCGCCTGTAACCCCAGCTACTTGGGAGGCTGAGGCAGGAGAATTGCCTGAACCCAGGAGGCGGAGGTAGTGGTGAGCCGAGATTGCGCCATTGCACTGCAGCCTGGGTAACGAGAGCGAAACTCCGTCTCAAAAAAAAAAAGAAAGCTCGGAAAGAAAAGTCAGATTACAAAGGCCTTGTGTAAAAGCTAAAGAGTTTGAACTTTGTTTTTCCTGAAAAAAAGTAGTGACTTAAATAGGAGAAAGATATGGTCAAATTTGTGTTTTAAAAAGCTCACTCTAGAAGCAATGGAAAGAATGGATCTGGGCCAGGCATGGTGGCTCGCGCCTGTAATCCCAGCACTTTGGGGGGCCGAGGCAGGTGGATGGCTTGAGATTAGGAGTTTGAGGCCAGCCTGACCAACATGGTGAAACCCTGTCACTACCTACTAAAAATGCAAAATTAGCCAGACGTGGTGGCACATACCTCTAGTCCCAGCTACTCGGGAGGCTGAAGCAGGAGAATTGCTTGAACCTGGAAGGCGGAGGTTGCAGTGAGCCAAGATCACACCACAGCACTCCAGCCTGGGCAACAAGAGCGAAATTCTGTGTCAACAACAACAACAACAAAATGGATCTGATTGAACAAAATTGGACAGCGGTCAGACAACAACTACAGAAGCAATTTTAACAGTTACGAGTTTTTTTTTTGTTTTTTTTCGATGGAGTCTTGCTCTGTCACCAGACTGGAGTGCAGTGGCGCGATCTCAGCTCACTGCAACCTCTGTCTCCTGGGTTCAAGCGATTCTTCTGCCTCAGCCTCCTGAGTAGCTGGGAAAACAGGCGCATGCCACCACGCCTGGCTAATTTTTTTGTATTTTTAATAGAGATGGGGTTTCACCATGTTGGCCAGGATGGTCTCGATCGCTTGACCTCATGATTCACCTGCCTTGGCTTCCCAAAGTGCTGGGATTACAGGTGTGAGCCACCGAGCCCAGCCGACCAGTTAAGAATCTTAAGAGATGAGGCTATACACTAAGGTAGTGAATTCAACAGATACTAAGCAGCAGGATCTTCCAGCTGGTCTGTTGTGGGTCAAACAGAAGAAGGAAGAACTGAGGGAGACTTTATAGTTTCTGGCTTGGGCAATTTGTTGAGTGGTTACCTCATTCACAAGAAAAAAGAGAATGAAAAAACAGTTCAGATGGAAAATAATTAGTCAAGTTTTAAAAATCTGAGATGTGTCACAAAAGTCATGAGAGAAAGGGTTTCAGGAGGGGCTGCTTGAAATCAGAAACTGTAGAGCTCATGATTTATATATAAGCTTAAACTAGTTCATTGAATTTAGCAATTAGGAAGTTTTGGGCAACTGTAGAACAGTTTGGGTAAAGTGGAGTTAGCAGATGGTAGGAGGATGAGTATCTAGGACAGAATGGGAGGGAAAAGGTAAGACAGTGACTACAAACTATTCTTTTAGGAAGTCTGGCTACAAAGAGTTAGGGTACCAGTTACTGGGGCAGGGGTGGGTGGGTGGGTAGCTGTATACAATGTACAAATTTTAATTTGACTCCGGATACATTTCCAATTGTAAGAGATCTAATATATTACTTTTCAAAACATGTCCTAGTTACCTGCCTACAACCGAAACCTGGGGTCATTCTTAACTCCTTTGTGTAAACTTCCCCTTGTCTGATAAATACTGTAGATTCTGACTCAGAAATGTCTCCAGAATTTGGTTTGTCCTCTCTGTCTCCAGCAGCACTGTTTGAAATCAAGCCCTCACCACCCCTGGCGTTTTCTACTTTAATACTCTTCGACTTGGTTTTCCTGCTTCCAGACTGTCCCCCATTGTTGCAGGTTTATTCTCTCTGCCAGCCAGAACTTCTTCCCCTGCTTTTTTTTTTTTTTTTTTTTTTTTTTGCCGGCAGACCTTGCCTCATCTTTCATCCTGTAACTCCCAGCTTTAATAGTTTCTCTAGGAAAGCTTCCTGCTCTTTAATTCTTAGCTAATCATTCTCTTCTCAGAGTCCCATCTCCCTCACATCTGTTCAGGTTTCGTAAATAGCTCTTACAACCCTGAATTGCGATTACTTTGATTAAAAATAGGTCTGTTCAGCTTCCATCTGAGCTTTAAGATAATTAGTTGTCTTTTCCCCCCCAGATCTTTAACACCTGGAAAGAGTTTGTCACACAGTAGGAACTCAATAAACATTCTATGAATAAGAGTTTGCTATGATAAACCTTAGTGCCATGACAACAGTGTAGAAAGGATGTGTAGAATTTTTTTATCTAAAACTCTCCCTCCACCTGAAAGCCAATGAGGAGGAGGAAGATGAGAGAAGCCTGAAAATAGAATTTTAAAAATAGAATAATTTTTCTAATGTTTTTTTCCAATTTTTCCCTTGTAGTTTCTTTTTTATTTCATGTGTTTATTCTGAATTCTTTATTCTTATTTTCTTACAATTCTTCTTGTTCTCAACATATCTATGACTAATTACAAGTGGTGGGTTCTCATCTCGATTTCTCCTCCCCTCAATTTTCCTCTTCCTTTCTCATCCATGTTTCTTTGCTTTAACTCTAATCTACGAAAATTATAGTATCCATTGGATAAAAACGTTTCGACTATTTCATCTGAAATTCTCAGACTCTTGACTTTTTTTTTTAAGTTATAAACCATCTCGGAAGGATCCTCCCAGGAGTAAGCAGTGACAATTTGTTCTTTAAAACAAACAACAAACAAACAAACAAAAAGTTTTAGTTATTGCAATACTTTGAAAACTAGGCAAAGGCTAGTGAATGGCAGAATTTCATTATGGAAATTAGGCCACATGAGTTCCAGTTTTGTCTGGGGCAAGTCACTTAGTTCTAAGGGTCTCAGTTTTCTCATTTGGACAAGGAAGTTGGATAGTCAATCTTTAAGGTCTGTTTCACCTCTGGCAACCTGCAATTCCAGACTCTAGTTAAGGCTGTGAGGAGAGAACCATTCGTATGTGGCAAATGGCCTAGTAACCACTTCTTCATAATTCTAAGATAATACATATTTATGGAATATTTATTATACAACCAGCATTGTTAAGCCACTAAGAGTTTAGAAACATACTATTAGACCAGGCATGGTGGCATATGCCTGTAATCCCAGCACTGTGGGAGGCCGAGGCAGGTAGATCACTTGAGGTCAGGTGTTCGAGACCAGCCTGGCCAACATGGTGAAACCCTGTCTCTACTAAAAGTACAAAAATTAGCTGAGTATAGTGGCACGTGCCTTGTAGTCCCAGATACCTGGGATGCTGAGGCAAGAGAATTAATGGAATGAGGCAGAGTTCACAGTGAGCTAAGTTCATGCCAATGCACTCCAGCCTGGGTGACAGAGCAAGACTCCATCTCAAACAACAACAAACATACTAGTAGATTAAAAGTTAAAATGCCTTAAACTTGAAAAACAACTATGATTCTGTTTATCCTTGCTGTGGAATTCCAATCCTGTTGAATAGGTATGGGATAAAATGAGCGAGCATGCTACATAACTAATTGCCTGAAATCAGGTAGATAGTTATCTTGACAGCAACAAGATCAAAACCTAAGTTTTCGGTTCTTTTTTTTTTTTTTTTGCGACTGACCTGCAAAGTTTTCAGTTCTATAAATGATTTTGTCCTTGAAAAATTTGCCATCTTATTATGAATGTGTGTATGTGAGTGTGGAAGAGGTGAGAGTAGAAGGAAATTTTAAAAATTAGATAATTAATTATAAAAGGCATAATTAATAAACTGCTAAATATAGACTCAAAGCCAAATATCAAAATGGAACTGACGTAGTTTAAACGGCCTAGTTTGAAAAGGAGAATTGAATTGAATCTCAAAGAATGCTGAAAGACATGAATAGAGAAGGAAATGGACCAACATTTATGCGATAATCAAAACAATGATGTGTTGGAGGTGAACTGAATAGAGCGGTTTTTTGTTTTCGAGACAGTCTTGCTCTGTCACCCAGGCTGGAGTGCAGTGTTGAGAAAAACACAGCTCACTGTAGCCTTGACCACCCGGGATCAAGTGATCCTCTCGCCTCAGCCTCCTGAGTAGTTGGGACTACGGGCATGTGCTACTAAGTCTGACTAATTTTTGTATTTTTTTGTAGAGACAGGGTTTTGCCATGTTACTCAGGCTGGCCTTGAACTCCTGAGCTGAAGCGATCCACTTTCCTTGGCCTTCCAAAGTGTTGGGATTACAGGTGTGAGCCACTGTACCCAGCCTGTGATTTTTGGATTGCAGTGGAAGAGTCCTGCTGTTTTGCAGTGAACACAAGGTAAAGTGAGATTAGAGTATGGAGGGCATTGGAAACCACATAAAACAGTAAATTTAATCTCATAGGCAATAGGAAAACATTGCAGATAAAAAGTTATTTTTGAAGAAAGTTTTTTTTTCTTTTTTTTTGAGAAAGTCTCACTTTGATGCCCAGTGGCCCAGCTTACCACAGATTCAACCTCCTGGGCTCAGTATTCTGAGTAGTTCTACAGGAATGCACCGGCACACCCAGCTAATTATTTATCCTTGTTTTGTAGAGTTGATGCTGCCCTGGTTGTTCTCAAATTCCTGGGCTCAGACAATCCTCCTGCCTCTGTCTCCCAAAGTGCTGAGATTCCAGGCATGAGCTACTGCACCTGGCCTGAAGGAAAATTTAATAGAACTTTAAGTAGCTTAATATAGGCAAAAAGAGGAATTTCAGTTGTCCCAAAATTTAGGGTGTCCTAATTTTTGTTATTCAACGTCAAATAGAGATATTTATTTAGCCCCTCCCTTATTGTGAAACAAAATTATCCTGGGGAATTCTATATTATCCAATTGTAGCCCAGCCCAAAGGTGTTGGGGCATGTTCTACAAGATGACCAACCATGGGCACATTTTTTGCTTGCTTTTAATGTAACTGATTCTGTCTTGAGACTCCATTTAAAGAGAAGCTTATTTATTTTACCACTCTAGAACAGTGATTCTCAGAAAGTTCTTAAAGTGAAAGCTATTTCTATTAATCCTAAGATGTAATTTGTCTTTTTCACTCATTCTCTCATGAGCATACAACAGAGTTTACCAGAGGCTACATTCTGTGCAATATTGCAATAGTCTGAATGCAAAGAGATGAGAATCCAGCTCATCTATCTGGCTTCTATTAAACCAGTTAAAACACTTGTAGAAATTAAAAAAAGTGTCACTCTTTATGCTTGCTTTTTTGTTGTTGTTTAAAAAGTACATAGTTGGCTGGGTGCGGTGGCTCACGCCTGTAATCCCAGCAGTTTGGGAGGCCGAGGCGGGTGGATCACGAGGTCAGGAGTTCGAGACCAGCCTGACCGATATGGTGAAACCGTGTCTCTACTAAAAATACAAAAATTAGTTGGGAGTGGTGGTGTGCGCCTGTAGCCCCAGCTACTTGGGAGGCTGAGGCAGAAGAATTGCTTGAACCTGGGAGGTGGAGGTTGCAGTGAGCCGAGATTGTGCCACTGCACTCCAGCCTGGGTGACAGAGCGAGACTCCGTCTTAAAAAAAAGAAAAAGAAAAAAAAAGTATAGTCATCTTTAATTAAAATTGCTACTTATGCTAAAGTGATGAGCTTAGTGTAAAGAAATTATGAGAGCAAAAAGTTTGAGAACCTCTCCTCTAAAGTGATACTCTCCCATATTTAATAAAAGAAAATAATTCCATTCTGGCTTTGCTCATATTTCTTTCGTTGACACTGACTGCTCATTGTAGTGATGTTAGATGGTTTATATTGCTCTCAATTGCTTTTCTAGCTTATTTTCGTCTAATTGCCACGGCTGGCTTTCTAAATAAAGAGGAATGAAATTTCTTACCTGTGACAAATAGTTTCTTGCAAGAGGAAGCGATCTGGAATCTCTGAAGTCCCCTTTCTTGTCCCGAGGCTGTGTAGATTGTAGCAGGCGACAGCCACTTTAGCAGCTAGAGGTGGCAGCTGGAGCCAGAACTGGCAGCCAGGAGTGCAAAACGCACCGGGAAACAACTCCCTGCTGCCTGTGCAGGCAGTCGCTAGAGGCCCAGGAGAGAAAGAGGAAGAAGGTGGAGTAGGGGAGGAGACTAATGCCGGCACGCCTTGGGCCCGCCTTCTCAAAGGCTCTTTTGAAGTGAAAGAGGATACTGAGTATTCTTTTAATGTAATATCACTATTTTAATGAAATCTTTTCTTCTGTAAAAGTTGGGGCTCTGTGCCTTCCAAAACCTGTACCTTTTTCTGAGGTACACACAAACACTTTAAGAAAGCACCTCCTTAGTCCATCAGAAGCATCTACTTTTCTCATCTGTCTCTCTTCATTTTCAGACTTCCTGGTCACATTTCAGCACAAAGCTTTTCTTACCTTACAATGCAGAATAATCAGTCCTATTGGGGTAACTCCCACAATGTTACAACACTTAAAATATTTCTAAAATATAACTCGTTAAAAAAGGAACATTTTGCAAAATATTTTCTTTGACTTTATAACCTCATTCAGGACTTCCCCTCCCTCCCTAGCTCAGAACAGTGTCAAAGGGTAGTTGATACAGGCCAGTAATATTTACTTGTCAGTGGAACAGGAGTCCATTTTTATCAAACTTCTTCTTTGTCTGCTATATCAGACGCAAGCCACATGCATGCCACCATTAGAATCTTATTTAACAATTTTTAAATTTCCTGCGACAGAAAGTAAGCCTGGGGAGAGAGATACCAAAATTCAGATACAGTTTCCAGTGTTGAAACTTTCCATTTCTGGAATGATAGCAAAGACTGAAGATATTTGAAATGCAATTTAAGGATACGTATTTTTAGGGTTTATGCTCACTTGTTGAAAAATAGTCTTATAAAATGTAACTTTTAAAGACCAGAGTGTAAATATCACAGTATTGAAAATAATTAGTGGAAACAGAATTTCTTAGCTTTTTTTTTTGAACATGTGCTAAACTGTATTACTTTGCTAGGAAGGGAATTAGCAAGGTGGCATTTTCTTTTCATTTTTTGCTAGTACAGAGATGGTATACAAACAGAGTGCTTCCTAGAGTCAGGGAACAAAATGCTTACATAAACACTACTTTTTGTTTGTTTGTTTTAAAAACAAGATAGGGTTTTCACTTCGTGAAGTCATAAAAACATCGCTTCCTTCAGCAGTGATTACAAAGGAAGTCTGTGGCAGGGTGGCTGGAAGTGATTGGCGTGGTGACTATCAGAAGAAAAAAATCAGTACATTTAAGAAGTATACGATAAGAATACATACACGACTAAAGTTGAAATAGTAAGTTTTCATCTTCCAACTGTAGAGTCCAATTGGGCCAGTTAACATGAAAGCATGAAATGGGAAGTAGTGATCAGAAGCAGAGCACTAAACAAGCTCTAATTTTAAATATTCCATTGCCAATGAATTTTCTCCAGCTGTAAAGATGCAGAATGTACAATTTACACATTTTGCAGTTTTGGGACAAACATATTTTTCTTTGATACAGAGCAATCCATATGTCTCAGTGTAGTGTCCTTTGTACTTCATAGAGTTGTTTTTAAAGATTAAATGAGATAATGATGACAGCCCTTTGAAGATTTTAAAGCTCTAGATAACAAGATCTATATTCTCTCACTTATTCTTACCCATTTCACTTATACAATGGATGTAAGATTTTAAAAATAAAATGTCCATAGTGTTCTCTTAACCTGACGAAAGCATTTGTGCATTAGGTGGAATCATTTTTCCTGGAAATATTTTAAGAATCGATGGACAACCACCTATTTGGATATCATACAATGTGAAGGCTGTGAGGTGAATTATATGAGTATTTTCCAGAACTTTGGATTGAATGAACCATTAAAAATAACAGCAATCATGATAATAAGGAGGAAGAGATAAACATAGTAGACAACTCTACATTTGACCAAGTAAGGACACTTAAAAATGTGAAGTTTTAAAACTTTTTATTTCATAAAACTTATCTTACCTGTGCCCCCAAAATTAGGAAGGACATGGTATCAGAATAAAGGACAGCCCTTTAAAGTGGATGTATTTGACTTGATGAAAACTTCATACTGCTCTGGAGTCTGAAACAGTAAGCATAAAAATCAAAGAAAACTAAAACTTCATTACTTTTCCCTTCATTTTACCACAGAGGGTAAAAATTCAACACAGATTGCTATTGTTCTCGGACTGTTTGAGGCTCCTTTCTCCACAGTTATCTAGTCTAGTATTTAGCACGTGGCTTATATTTCACAATATTAGCAACTCAAATTAAACACATTGAGCGCTTATTTTCTAGGAACTTATTTAAAACAATTGGCTTCTTCACAAATAGCAAATAAATATATACATACCCACTGCTTCCAAGTCTTGATGATAACTAACATATAACAAAGCAAAAGGAAAAAAAACATGAATGATACATGTAAGTGTTAAACACAGTTCTCTGAGGTGTAAGATTTTGTACCTGGAGCTTATGGATGGGTGTTATTGACCTTTGTGTTATGAGTTAATTTGCTTTGTTTTTTTTTCTTCCACATCAACTAACTGGGCATAAACTTGAAATGTCTGTCTTTGAAATTGCAGGTTAAAGTCTCCAATTAGATGTTGCCACATTTGATGAGGCAAAGCTACAAATATGTGAGCCACGTGTATCACAGAATACTTTTTGATAACTGCTGCCAATTAAATTGACTAAACTTATTGACAGATCCGGGAGAGAATTTTCTAGAAAGGTGTGCTTCTGAAAGTTTGGTTGCACCAAAGAGGAAGAGGGTCAGGAACTGAAGCTCTGCATCTAAAAGCCTGGCTTGTAGACCAGGGAAACACGTGATTAAAACCTTCCTGCAAACAGACCATTTGCAAACGCGGTTTTAAACCCTTCCTGCAAACAAACCGAGTAAATTTTATTCTAAAAGAGGCCGTGGATGTGCTATTTTGTGTTCCCTTCCTGAGATTCCAGGCTGCCGAGACACACCCCGGCCTTGCTTTGGCAAGTCCTCCTTGTTCTTTCTTTGCCAGTTTCAGGTTTTATCCTGACTCAAACACACATAGGGTGGCGGGGAGAGATTTTTTGTTTCACGACTATTCCAAGTCAGGGGAAAGAGCGGGAGAAACCCAGAAAAAAGCTGCCCTTCTGCAGGGCCAGGCTCTGGGAGGCTGGGGGCGGGGTGGGGCGGGGCTGGGTGGGGGCGGCTGTCACGTGACTCGTGCAGGGGAAAAAAGCTGCCCTTCTGCAGGGCCAGGCTCTGGGAGGCTGGGGGCGGGGTGGGGCGGGGCTGGGTGGGGGCGGCTGTCACGTGACTCGTGCAGGGGGGGAAAAAAGCTTCCCTTCTGCAGGGCCAGGCTCTGGGAGGCTGGGGGCGGGGTGGGGCGGGGCTGGGTGGGGGCGGCTGTCACGTGACTCGTGCAGGGGCTGATGGGAGTGCAGCCGCTCTCTCTACGTAGGAAACCCAGCACCCCGCCCCTCACTCCCGCCTGTTTGCTGAGGAGAAAGGTCCCCACACCACGAAGTACATTGGGCTTGGGGTGGGGCTGAAGGGAAGGGCGCCTGTGAGAACGTAACTGAGTGTGACATAAGGAAGGGGGGGAGCATGGAAGCTTCTTCTGAGGGGCTCTAGTGGGACACAAGCCTTAGTAGGGAGGAAGTGGGGAGGGGCGGCAGGAAGTGAGGAAAAATGGAGGTGAGATGGCCTGAGGGGCCAGAACGGCGTTGAGAAGGGGGAGAAAACTAGAAGGAAACAGCTGCATGAGGCAGAGGGGACAGTGCTTAGTAACGGCCAGGTCGCTAAGCCTAAGGTCGCAGAGCCGGGGGTAGTGGCGGGTGTTTATCACACGATGAAGACCAACCCGTCCGCCATGCCTGGCGTCCCTGAGGCCTCGAGCTAGGACAGGAAAACTAACTTATTTTTGCAGAAACAGACTTCACTTGACGGACATAGGTGCGCAGCGTTACTTTGGGAGAGAAGAGAAAGGTGAAGGAGAAAGAGAAGATTAGAAGGGGAAGGGGGAGTGAAAAAAATCCACCTTTTGGCTTCGCTGAAGTATTTTCCAGCTACCAAAGTTAACACTGCATGTATAGTATTTTCTAGATGCTACTAATACTCTTACAGGCCTTAAACTTACATGTTATAAAGATACTGGGAGGAATGGAGATGTACAGTACAGAATTTACTTAACAAACATCTTTCTAATTTGTTGTTGCTCTTTCTGTCTTCTATGTATGCATGTTCTATAGGACGAATCAGAGTGACCCAAGTCGGCATTGTTTCTCAAAAACAGCAAAAAAAAAAAACTCAGTTGATAACGAATATGGACAGGGCTCCCCTCATCTCAAAGACATAGAGACTATACCCTTCCAGGTTTCCACATTTAGACTCCTAGGGAAAATGCCTTCTGAATTTATGGGAAAGTAAAAGTAAAATTTGAAGCTACTTTAAAGTAAGGTAGGACAGTGGGAACAATCTCAGATCTGAAGAGTGAGGAGATCTCGGTTCTAGACTAGCTCAGCCTTGGGGTTTCACTGGGTCCACCATCACTGTACCTGTTTTCTCACTTGTAAAAAATGAGATTGAATTAGATGAACTTTAAGACCTGTTTCAACATTAAGATTTTGTGAAGATAGAAGAATCTTAACTGAGCCAGTCCTGAAACAAGGCAGAATTGCCAGAGAGGATCATTTGGCTAAGTACACAGAGAGGAGAAGTTGAAAATGACGGGACTAGTAGGCTGGCACCAGCTAATACGGGACTTTATAGGCCATACCATGGAATTTCACGGTATGGAACAATGAAAGGTTTTGAGTTAAGGGAATGCAGGAATCAAAGTTCTGATACCCAAAGAGCAGTTGATAGAATAATTTAGAGGAGGGAGCAATTGAGTTTAGGAAAGTGACGGATAATGACAGTCTAAATTAACAGCAGCAGTAGGAGTGGGAAAAAGGGAAAGATTCCAGAGAGCTGTAGCCTGGAGTTGTACCTAAATCTGGCATTGTTCTAAGCTTTATAGATGGTGCCTTCGGAATATGATGGCAAATCACCTTGTAAATCCCGATACTAGAAATTCCAAGAGGCCAAGAGAATCGGAGGTAAGCTCTATTCTTGTGGAGCCTTAATCTTTTATTCTGTTTTACATACTTCTCAAATTTCTTCCCTTTA